GACGCTTACGCGCGGCATGCCAAAGCTGTCGATAGGCTCCTGAGCTAACTCTGCGCTAACTCATGTTACACTTTGTCAACCACGCCACGCTTGTTAGCTTCAGGCTGTGAAGCTTGAAGAAAGAGCAGTAGACTGTGCAAAACAATTAAGCTGATTATTTCTAAAAAACTAAAAAAACAAAATGAGCATGAAGGATGAAGATTAAGAAGATAGGGGATATCTGGCGCGGACCGGTTGGTTCACGAGGCTGCGCACGCAGCCCCTGGGCGGCGAGGCCGCCACAAACTCGGTGGATTTTCAAGTCAATTCGGGTTTACACACAAGTAGAAGATAAATGAGTAGAGGACAATCAAAAATGAGGCTAAGAAGGGGAGATAGCGGTAGGGGCCGACGTTTACGTTAATGCTAGGTGAAGCCAGAGTGTGGTGCGTGTAGTGCGGCGCTGTACAATGCGGTGGAAGTGTGAGTTGACCTAGAGACAGACACGGTATTAGTTAGTTACACTGAACGATACTGGTTGCTTTACGGCTCGATCCGCGGACAATCCCTTAGTGGGGTAGCTGAATAGAACAGCGGTCAGTGGGTTGTCCGCTGGTCTACTGATAGTAGCCAGTGTCGCTGGCGCCCTAGGCATCCACTGTATGGAGTAATTTTCGTGTTTTTTCGATAACCGCCTAGGGCTTATTCTCCATCAGTGTATGCGAGCACTGGAACTTCAATTTTTAGCCAAAGTCCAGAAGGCATACCCTGAGATGCCCTGATGAAGGGGTGCTACACAACCATAGCAGGAAGGAGTTGCACACACATCACGACACACACTACTTCTAGGCAATCAACTCACACGAAAATCTACGAGAACATAGATTCAAAGGAAATTGTTTGTATGCTTTACATATAGAACGCAGTTTCGGTGTGCTCTATCAAGTAGAGTCGCTCACATCGATTCGAGACATCCTCTCGTGTGTAAAAACAACGATGCGTTAGTTCTATTGGTTTCGTTGGACAGGCGATGCCGATTATTATATAGAACACTGGAAATTGTGTTATCCGTTACACCTATGTCAGTTAGCGGCAACCTGATGGAACGGACTTCCGCACAGCGCCCACCAGCTTGAATAGGCCGCAAGGAGGGTGCGGACGACAACCAGCCACAGTAGCGTGCAGGTACTGCAGGCTATTCGCGGGAGTACTCTGGGATGTCTAAAGGTTGACCAACCCAGCAACGACCAGAACCATGTTTTCTCATTATTACGCGCTCTCCTTCCCACTCCTTACTAATCACAGATTTTCTCTCTACCACTTGCGCGTCCAGCTCCCGCACTGGTTGCAGTGTCGCCTACGTGGCAAAATCGGATATGTATGCTTCTACAGTGGGTGCATTCGCCTTTTGCTACCTAGTTTCTACGTTGAAGAGGCGATAGTATTTATTGCTTATGAAATTATAGGTTATTTCTTCGACGAAGATCTACTGAAGTGTTGGTTTCCGGAGCTTTCCGTGTATTCTG